CATCATGATCGCCGCCTCCGCTGCCGCTACCAGCCTTCGCGCCACCCCCTCTCCCCTTCTGGTTGCCGCCGCCGCCGCNCTACACCCCCTCGACCAACGACTTTGTGACACTCGCCTGAGATGTCACCGACCACCAGCGCTTCTTCTGCCAACGAGGGTGCTGTGGCGTCCGCAGGCGCCCCCCCCGCCGGCACTTCCATCACGAGCACCGCCTCCTCGGTCGGGCACTTGCACTTGTCGTGCCCGTAGCCCTTGCATGTCTCACATCGCACGGGCTTGCTCTCGGGGCAGTTGGCCACCTGGTGGCCCTTCTTACCGCACCGGAAACAGCGACCGCGCATGCTACCCGCATCGTCGTCGCCGCCTCCGCTGCCGCCTCCAGCCTTCGCGCCACCCCCTCTCCCCTTCTGGTTGCCGCCGCCGCCGCCGCCACCCTTGCGGCGGCCGCTGTTGCCGCGGCCCGGCGCTCCTCCCCCGCCGCCACCGTCACTCGCGAGGAGAGCATGCTCCGCCCTACGCTGGCTCTTCCAGGCCTTCCTCCCCTCCGGAAGGCTCGCGTGCACCGTGCTCGCGATTCTGACGATCTCGGCCCTATCCAGCGCCGTTGCTGTCTCCAACAGGAACTTCGCTTGTTGGTACTCGGGTGGGAGGGAACCAACGAAGTGGGCGAGAACGAAGGGTTGTTCAGCATTGAGCCCCTTTTCGCGCAGGCGGGCATACAGCAGCTCGAGAGAGTAGAGGTGCTCGATGGGGTTGCNTTTCGCGTAGGCGTGAGTACAGCAGCTCGAGCGAGTACAGGTGCTCGATGGGGATTCTGCTGCTGTGTGTGGGGATCGTGAAGTTGAACATTTGCTTCATCAGGGCTTTTTCGAGCCCTGCTATTCCGGATCGTAGATTTTGTCGAGCGAGGATCTCTTCTGCGGTCTCGCATTTGTTCACGATCGCCTTTTCGGCTTCTCTGACGATGGCAGTGGTCACAAAATGGAACGCTTGGAGGCCACTCTGGACCTCGTCGCTGGTGTATTGGAGGCGGTACAGCTCCGAGCTTGGCACGTTTGGGTTGCCGACAGGTGCAAGTCTCTCGCTGTTGCCGACCAATTGGCCGTCCAGTCCTACAGTCTTGGCCGCTTGGATAAGGGACTTTCTCCACGAGTCATACCCATGGCCGCGACTCTCCCCTTCGAGACGCGGGGCATTGACTGTTACTCTCTTCATGTGGCTACTGCTGTTGCCGTTGACGAATTCTTCATTTCCTCAAATCACGGGTATCTCACCTGGGGGGCTCAACCCCCTCGCTTCCCCGTAGTCCGGTCCTATGCCCGGGCCCACTCCGGCTGGTCCAACAGCATTCGCTCCCGATCTGCTGGCCCATCCGCCTTCCAGTAGCTGCCGTGGTCCTTGCCCACTATCTCTCGCTTGCTGCTGGAGAAATCCCCCGCCNGGCTCCTTCTTCTTCGCCGACTCCTCCACCAGGGCCGCAAATTGCGAAATCTGCCGTTGCGAACTTGCAAGCTCTGCATCGCGGCCCTCCTCCATCGGCGAGCGGATCTATTCTCCGCTCGCAGCAGTGGGCACCTCATCTCCGGCAGAGCTCATGCCGATGTGGCTTCCCTCGAGGGGCAAAAAATACTCTATAGAATGTTTGCGGCCTGTGCCACTTATTTATCGGGTGAGACTCTTTTGGTGATGTATTAACTTTACGAGAGGTCGACGACCGTCCTTCACACGGACGAAAGAGGGAGTGCTCAGAGAGCGGCTCCCACAGCAAGGAGGGGCCCCGTGAATAATCGCGGTGCCCCCTACCAAACGGAAATCTTACCAGTCTGCACACCAAATAATCCGGTGCATGTATATAACACCAATGTTCGCCGACCCACGAACAGGTTTTCCGAAATTTACCGCACAAGGAGCCGTTAGGCCGTATCTATCGTTTCTGTTCTCTCAACACATTCATTGCGCATGTGGTTATGGGTTCTTGATCGATGCGTCCAATCGCTGGTGGTCACAACCAACCGCACCTGACCCTCCACGATCTCAAAGTCGAATTTGGGCATGAATGTCTTCATGAACAGCACGATCTCGACTTTCGCTAGGTCACGGCCGGGGCACATGTGCTTCCCGAAGCCCCACATCGGAGGGATCGGCTGCCCTGATGACCGGGCACCAGTACCAGGCGAGGCCGCGTTGTCTGTATCCTTCTTTTCGCCTCCATGCAGGAAACGGAACGGACAGAACCTGGGAGAAGACCAGTGCACGGATCGCCGTAGGAGGGATAGATGCGCGGTTAGGGGCCGAGGATCGGCCGAGAGGTGAAGCCCGCCTCGAGACTCTTGCGCAAACAACACGACCATGAAAGTTGTGTGTGTACCTCCGCGGCACTAGTTTCGTGACGAAAATTGTTGGGGTTGCTGTATCTCTCCTATCGTCTCAGATGGGCGAGATAGACAACAGGTGGCAATCGACAGGCAGGAAGCCCAAAACCGACAGCGGCAAGAATTATCTGGCACTAAGAAGAAGACTTAGATGCTGATTAGGTAGTTTCAAGAGGTGGAGCTCTCTAGACATCGGACTCTGTATGCCGTGGTTCGTACTTGCCACCTACTTGCGCCCGCACACTATTGGGTACTAGCCGACAAACTTGCATGTGGTGGCCCTCCATGATTGGTAGATTCGCACAGTCCCATGTGTGCTCACTTTTGCGGTTCGGGGTAGAGCTTCTCGGCGCGTGACCCGTGGATGAGGTTCCAGTTGAATGTCTGCCCCTCCGGGATGAGGTATCCGTTGTAGCTGAAGTCCTTACCAGCCTTTCGGAACAATCCCGCGATGGAAAAAGCCGAGTCGACTCGAGCACCAGAGCTTTGAGGAGAGACAGCGATTCCAAGGTGCCGGCCAAGCCGGCGGCACCGCCTTCGAGGGCGATATTTCCACTCGTTGCGTCGTTGTTAAGCTCGTCGATAAGCTGGTCCATTACCTCCTTGCCGTCCTCCGCAGTCCCGAGGAGCTGTAGCATGCGCGTGAGGGTCACCGAAGTCGTGTCTATTCCCCCGAAAAGAGCAACAAGACCCTGTGTTCGGACAGCAACGTGACAAAATTCGGAGACGAAAACAATTGACCGCTGGCTTTACAAGGTGAGCAGCGCGGCGAACACGTCCAGGCAAACATGTTTAGGCTCCATCGCCTGACACTAAGCGCGGCATCACACAGAGAGGGCGGCCTAAGTGCGATAGCCGACAAGGAGATGACCACCGCCACCGCCACCGCCACCGCGGGCCTTACGTTGTCAATGATGAAGTCGTCGTCGAAGGAAAAGCTCCCGTCAAGCGCACCCTCGGCGCCAATCTGCTGCTGGCCCTGAAGATCGACAAAGGAGTCCACGACGCAGGGGTTCTTGTTGGTACCCTGCTCAGACGCCAGGTCCACGCGTCGCCTGTGCAGCGCGTCGCGAATTAATCCTTTGAGCTCTTCTCTGGCGTGCATCGAGAGTCCGAAGCCGAGCATCGGGAGTCTGTTCAGGGGCGGCGAGAACCGGAACGGAATACTGACCAACCCTTGTCTGAGAATCGGGAGTAAGCGCCCGGTGTCTTCGACAAACCTGGGCGTGGCGTAGTCACCGAAGAACGCTCCCGCGATCGATTCCAGGCTAAACCTCCTGAGGTCGTTCTGCATTGTCAGTTCCTGCTGGGCAGAAGAACATCGTGCAAGTTGGTACTTTGTGTCACGGACCGTGCCTCTGCGGGTAGGCAATTGAGTCGCCGGTAGCGGTGTTAAACTGCTCCAACGACATCTCTGCGTGTGGACGCACGGGCATGGTCATCATGGGAGGCGGAAACACAGCAGCGCCGTTGCTCTACGTGCCAGTCCTTAAGCGTTTCGGTGTCACATCTAGGCTGCAACCTCCTACCCTCGTCCACTACTGTTTCGCCACACAAGTCATCCCACCACCCGTGTATCGTGATATAACCTGCTAACTTGAAGAGTACTCCCCAAAATGATACTTCCAGCAAGCATTTGAGGGCCTAGCGCGGTAAACGCCGTAGCCACTCGCGTACGAAGAAATGCTAAATACCGTTCGACCTCTCGAATAACCTCTGCTGCCAATACCGACTACCTTCATACATCTCATTGTTATGTTGGGACCAACAACAGCAAGTGCTGCCTCTAGGCCACCCTGTCCGACATCATTGAAAAAAAATGTGAAATCTTCCCACCTGGCCTGTTTCGGCGAGCTCTTCCCAGCGAAGAACAAGCCTTCTAAGAGGAGCCTCCAGGAGCGGCTGTAGTCTAAGGACGGCTTTGGGGGATAACGCCTCACCGTTTACCCTCCTGACGATGGTGTGCACCTCATGCTGTGTGCCAAGGTTGCTGACCGCTTTTTTTCCTGGCCCGATCGAGATTGACGGAATGTGGGGGGGCACGTGTGGGTATACGGTATCTTTTGCCGACGTGTTATTCAAAGCTTTGCGAATGTTGCATTTTGCACACGTGAGGAATCACAATGATTCCATGATACAGTTCGTCCAAGTGTGCTACCATTTGTCCACGCCGCAGGCTGAAAAGGTTGGCACACGATGACGTTATACCAAAAATAAGAGACTCGCCAGATTTGTCTGGGATGCACCTCAGAACAGAGTGGTACAGTGTTTGCCCCGGTCGGTGTGGAAACTACGGACCGCTTTCGCGAGATAAATGCGTTTGGGAGCACATAGAACAGGGAGAAGGTACGCAGACCCTATCCCTAACCCAATCCCTAATCCAACTTCCCCGATTGCATGCTTCATCCAGCATGTCTACTCGTAGTAAAAGCACGTTGCGAAGGCTACTGGAAGCGACGTACCCCCCTCCAGCACCTACCAACGGGAGAATTCACCCACAACCTGGATCGTGCCTTCCAGCCAGTCCTGGTACAAATTTCCGGCGGCTTCTTCCTTCGTCATCCATTTCGTGCCTTCCCAAGCATCAATCACCTACAGAATGGAACCGAAAATTGAAAATGTGCGCAGCAAGTCACAGCGTGTACTGAGTCGACAGCGTGCGGTTGGCGGCTCGTGCACACGGCAGTTGAAGTGGGACGAACGGCAGCCATAATAGGCCCCAACTCGGATTATTGACACCTACCGTGCAGGATACCCCCACGCAATGAATGGGCTTGTGCAGATATCTCTCCGACTGCTATTTATAGTACCGCTTTGTGGGAGGAATCTCGAGGGATCGTCTTTTTCTTTATGAGCCGGCTAGTACGCAAGAATGAAAAATGACGGTTGAGCTGGCACACACTACAAATCTCTGCGCGAATCCGCAAGAAATGTAGTCTAATGACGTTCTTGCGAAGTATCTATAAAGCTTGACATGTACAGCATGCCTAACCAGTAAATCTCTTACCATCGCTGGAAGCAACCCATACACCCTTGAGCGCCAGATCCCACCACTCGACCACCCAACCCCATCAAAGCGGTTCGGTGTGTCCTCCGGGGCATCTGGCGCCGCCAGCATCTCGCGCACGGTCGCGATCGGGTTGGAGGTCTCGTCCCACGGTGGGAGCGGGTCTTGTTGTTGGGCTCGTGTCGAAGCCACGGCCCAGGTCGCCCGGTTGGAGCCGCCAACGGCGGGTTTCACAAAAGCGAAGGCACCGGGGAGAAAGTGAATCCTCGCAGCGGCCAGGGCCAGTACAACTGCCGTGGTTGATGCCATCTTCATGTTCGGAGCTTCCTTCGTCCTCCCCTGACGAAAGGGACCTTACATATTTGATGAGCAGAGCGCGAGGGAAGATAGACAGGTGGGGGGAATATTGCTAAGTGGTGGCCTGGGGGGGGGGAAAGGGGTTGCAGGGAGGCTGCAACCCGAAGTGTGCAAGTTATCCTGCATCGCAAAAAATTGCGTTATTCCAACCAACAAGGTGGGCTGCAAGCAAGCCTAAGCAAAAACGGGTTCAAGGTCGAACTCAGCCTTCCAACCTCCCCCCCCCCCAGGTTTGTGGTTGGTGCCCACACTGCCTCCTGGTCACCAGAATGCCATTCGCTCTTGGATTTGGGTCCCTCAGTGTTGTTCGCATTAGCCCTGCGCTCCAGCTGGCGCCAGCACTACATGGTCTATCTGGGACGGCGCGACCATATCGGTCGAAACGAAGGGGTAGCAGGGCTCGCTGTTTGGACATTCATTTCTCCGTTTTGCCGCGAGCGAGTGCAAAGAATTAGCGTACACATATATCTTGTTTACCATCGGCAGAATGGCTGTTCTCGGGCCTTCTCGTCATAAACCAAGTGTCGGGGGGAAGTCGCCACACTCGTCGAGGGTCGACGGATAGACGATACCACTGTACCTTATTTCCGGAGGAGAGGGGTTGGCATGAGGGGCCTGCTTGAATAAGCGTTTGCGCTGATAGTTTTTCTCTGTGGGAGAGAGAAACGGATGGGCGAGGTGTAGGAACTCAATCAAGCGCACCATGTTGGCATATTTCCGGTAGCTCCCATCGACACACACGTTAGTATCTTGCTTTGGGTACAGAGTGTCGGAGGATAACGGGTTTCGAACACCCAGGTTGTTGAAGTTGTTGGCGAGGTTTTCGTGATGAAAGACTTGAGCGGAGAAAACCTCAACCGTGGGGTGGTTATGGTTCAGCGGGGAAAGACAGGGGGAACGAGGGGGTGGGCGGGTGAGCGCAGGCGATGTGACGATTGGGTGGGGGGAATCATGACGGCGGAATGTCCTCCCTGCCGCGCTCGGGCGAAAGGCAGAAGTGCGGCGGGGCCTTTGACTCGCGGTTGTTTCTTGGGATTCTTCTTCTTGGCGTTGGTGTCCAATCACGTCTTACGTGTATGCCAAACGGGTGTTACTTGCCGGGGAGTGAGCACAGCAGTGCGCAATTGGTCCGACACCACACGCAACGTTCCGAAAGTCATGACAACATGCCAACATGGCAAGCCACTGAACTGCACTGAACATGAACACTGATCACATCCTGAACGGTTGCCTGAACCTCTGAACCTACTGATTAATTATTACGCCGCATGCTGCCGAACCGACAACTACCGCCGCCAAAACGCCAAAACCCGCAACCCACCTTCATCCTGACAGTCCCGTCTGCTGGTAATCCATCAGCCAAGGGAGGATAAAGCTCGTAACAGCGTGTGTGTGCGGCTAGAAGAGAGTGTGGAGCTGGTGCCAGGTGCTTCGAAAACGGGATACGCATGGTGGAGCATCAGCGAGCGGTTGAGCTTTTTGTCATCGTGTCAGGTACAGTTGTTGCTTTCAACAAGACAATGAATGTTCATATTTCTAGCCTGTTGTGTACATGTGGACACATGCACACAGGACGCGCAGGCGCATGCCACCATCGCGGGATTAGTTGGAGAGTAAAACGCACTGGTCGAGGAATATGTCTATGACCTGTATTTATTGATTCGGTTGTGTTTCGGCCAGGCACATTTGTAGCTCCTAGCGACAGACCACCTTGGTTGCAGAGCGGAGCGTTAACACCCAAGCAAGTCTTGGGTAACATAGAACGGCGTTCCATATTGCTGCAAGAGGGTTGGATAGAGTAGCAGGGGGGTGGGCAGTGAGAGCCCAGGGCAGCTGTTCTCAAGTTCCATGTCTCTTGGTGTGGGGACAGCAGTGGTTCCATTTGCACCAAGCTTCTACAGTTGGTTATTCACTACGAGCACGTGGTCAGCCTGACGCATAAGTACTTACAGCTCATCTCTCGTCTTGACCAAATGTCAAACCTCACCCCCCAGACTCCTCCGCCCCAGGGGAGGAAGTACGACGTCTCCATGACAGCCCACTTAGTAGCCCAGGAGCAGGAGTGCCAGCAGCAGGCTACACCGCGCCGCCTTCCGGAACGGCCATGACAGCGGACGGCCCGGTGCCATTCGCGGGCAACATCCTGGACAGCCCAAACATTCTTTGGATGGATGATCACTGGACCAGGGAGGAGGTGGGCTGTTGGGCTGAAGATCTTACAGTACGGAGTTTGAGAGGGACAGGGAGGGAGAAGAAGAGGGAGAGAAGAGGGAGAGCGAAAGAGAGAGATTGTGAGAGAACAGGGAGACATTGTGAGAGGGGGGAAGGGGGGGGCAGAGAGAGAGGGAGAGAGAGAGAGAGAGAGAGAGAGAGAGAGAGAGAGAGAGAG